AGTCATACACTACCAAAGGGAAAAAGATTAATAAGGCCCAGGTCTAACTGTACAACTCTCTGAAGCCATGCTCCTCTCTTTATTCAACAAATATTAAACATCCACTACATGCCTGGCACTGTTACAGACAACGAGGCACTTAACTATATGCTAAGCAACGTGTTAAGGGTTTTTTAATCCCATTTAATCCTGAAAACAACTCTAAAATGCAGGTACAATTATTCCCTGTATAGATAAGGTCTCTGACTCTGGGAGGCTCAGTAACTTGCTTAAGGTCCCTCAACTAGAAAGTGGCAGTATTGGAGTAGGCACCCTCCAAAACTCTTAACCACTACATGCCTCAGGGCACGAACACATTAAAGGACCCAAGCAGAGCTCTGAAGAAAACTTTAGTAAAGTGCTGAGGGAAGAGGGAGTGGGAGCTGGACTACTGCAAGGTCAAGTCTGTCTTCAATAACCACATACAAATAAAAGACAATTGTGACAGTAAACTTTACAAGGGTTCAGGTGGGCTCTGACACTTGTGTGGGACCAGCAGAAAAGCACTTGCCTTCTGGGAACCCCCGTTTCTCCTTCCAATATAAAATGAAAACCTTGCCATCTCTCCTCTGGGGTTGTGAGGAGGAGGCCTGGGCAGTGCAGCAGCTGACACTACAGACTTTCAGTTATAAAGGAGTCGTCAGTTGTCATCCAGTGCAAACACAGGAAAAGAACTACGCTGCAGGTACATTTCAAGTGGTCACGCCTGTAACACCGGCCTAACTTGAGTGTAGCAGTGTGGGGGCAAGTGTGGGGAGAAGCCAGTACGTCGGTACCATCATTAACCAGTCACATCACAGCTTCAAGCCTCAGTTTCCTCACGCGTAAAATGGAGATAACTTTACTTATCACCGAGGGCTACGCGAAGCAAGAAAACCCGGCGCGAGGACAGCTAAATCTGCGCCTGGCTCACAGAAAGGTACAAACCATCAAAACAAACGCTCGCTTTGCCTTCTTTCCTTGAATTCTAGAAATGCCGAAAAACTTTCGGTCTTCTTCACGGCTTCTACGTGCTACCTAAGCTCGACGCCTTACGGGATGTCACAGGCCTTGCAGGGCCTCACCCAATCCAGAACCTCGCCAGCACAGACCCTTTCCCCAACCCCAGTGCACAGTCTACCCACAGCGACAAGGACAGCGGGGCTCCTCCAAGATGCCGGCGAGGCGGCGAGGTGCCGCCTTTTGTACTCCGGGCAGACGCGGCCTCCGGGACGGGGACTGCCACGTCTGGGCTCGCGGGCTGCGAGGAGGCGCGCCTCGCGTGGATAAATAGCGCGGGGGTGGTCTGCAGCCGCAGGACGGCGGCGAGGAGAGGGGCCCGCGGGAGGTGCGTGTCTGCCCAGTCCGCCGACGAGGCGGGAAGGCGAGGCCGAACACACCCTTCCCCGCACGCCCCGCAGCTCTCTGCTGCGCGGACGCAGCGCGGGGACACCCCCGCCCCCGCACGGGAGTCCCGTCAGGCCGGGCGCCGCGGCGCCCACAGCCGACGCGGGGCTCGCCGCGGCCTGGCAGGGCCTGCCCTGTGGCGCCGCCCAGCCCGCCGTCGTCCGCACCCCGGCCCCCGGAGAGCCGGGCGAGGAGGCCTCGGCCGGACGGACACCGCGGAGGGCCCGGCTTACCTGGGGGGTTGCTGGTGGCTGGGCAGCTTTCCGGGCGGGAGGGGGGCGTCAGGACGAGGAAGAGGAGTGCGGGCGCAGCGGGAGAAGGGCGGGGGTGGTCGGCCGAGGCCCCGGCAGGTAGCGGGCTGGCCGAGGAGGTGCAGACGCGCCGGCGGTAGTAGCGGTGGCAGCGGCGACTGCTCCTGCGGCTCCCTCAGGATCTTCCTCGGGCAGGTCCAAGATGGCGGCGCTCCCTGCACAGGGTTTCCTGTCACCCTCGCAATGGGCCGGACCACAAAAGAAGCGGGGGGAGGAGAATGCGCGCGCAGCTGGCGGAGCCCGGAAGAGGGTGGCCGGGCCCCGGCCTGCTAGCCACGCCCCTTCCTCAGCCCTTCCCTCTGGACTAGTCGCGCCGCCGCCGAGGCCCGCCCCACTGGCCGTGGAGCCTGAAGGGGCGGAGGAGAGCGCCTGAGCGCAAGCGCAGTCGCGTGCTCTCGCGTCCTGGGGAAGTTACTGCGCAGGTTCAGGTGAGGTACGGCAGGGTCTCGAAGGGTTAAGCTGGTCACTTTGTGGACTTTTTACTCTGGTTTCCCTTCAGATCGCATAAATCTTTCGCTTTTTTACTATTTTTAATGCCAGCAAGTACTACTTACTGGACGCTTGTGCTACACTGGCCACAATGCTAAACACACATTTACTGCGTTCACTCAACATGTATGTATGGAGCGATTCGTACGTAGCAGTGAACAAGGCACACTAGGTCCCTGTCCAACAACCCCAGGAGGTACTTATCCCCATTTTATCAATGGCGAAACTGAGACTCATGTTGATCAAGTCACTGGTCCAAGATCATGCAGCTAGAACGTGGCACTTTCAATGTTTCATCTCTGTCCTTTACAACCTCTCTTTGATGGGAGGAGAAAAATTGTGACCACATATTCCACAATTTAACCACCTCCCACCACCCCTCCGCTCTTCCAACTTGGTCTGCTATTATCATCTTCCCAGAAAGTTTAGTGCACCTCAGCACAAGGCCGCTTTGACTTTCGTAGAACCTCGACACTTTGGCCTTGTGTTTGTGGAGATACACACATGCACACACACACATATAAATATATATAGTTCATACTTTACAACTAAATTGGTATAGATGAGTATATTAATGTTATACAGCAAAACATTTTCTTTAACCTAAAAGTTCATCTTTCTTTTCCGACCTTAAAAGCACTTAAAACATTTTTGTGGGTCCCTAAAAGTCCTGTGGGCCCCAGGCACTGTGCTTGCACCTAATGGATAAGACTGCCCTCCCTCAGGCCACCAAAATGAAGTTCAGGCTCTCTCTCTTGGCACTGAAGAGCTTTCATAAGCTAACTTTGCCTTAGGTAAGTGAGATTTCTTCGAAAAGTGTATGGCAGTTTACAAATCTCTTAATTTCAGAAAGATCTGGGTGTGAATCCCTGATCTTCAACTTACTAATGATTCACCATTGGGCATGTCACTTGATTCCTCAGATCCACAGTCTTTTCTGCAAAATAAGGATAATGATGGTGGGTGCCTATCTCACATGGGTCCTGTGAAAATTAAATGAGATAATACAAGATGCTTGACATATAAGTTTTTAATACATGGGAATGGCTATATTTGTAATTTCTTTTGTAAAAATAGGTGTTTTCCTATTCTTTATCTTTTTCCAATATAAGGTTCTAATATAAGGTTATGTTGAAATCCCTTCTAGCCCTATAGGTCTATGCTTCTATTCCTATATTCTTTAATTCCAATAAGTATAGTTTGTGGTCATAATTTAACATCTCTGAAATCAAGAAATTTGCCTGTGCCAAGTAAAGAAGAAAGCTGTGCAACAATTGCCATTACTTGTCCAGCTGTGAACTTAGGTCTGGCTAGAAAGTTTCTGTATATCCAATTGTCACCGGAATTGAAACCTAGCTAATGCTTATTGAACACCTAGTGTGAAACGGGAACTGACCTAAGAATCATGTATACTTTCTTACTTAATACCTACAACACCCCCACAAAGTCAGTGCTATATTTGCCCCATTTTATGAATGAGAAAACTGAGTGTCATATAGGGCACAGACTTTATAAAAGACATAAAAATTGGCAGTGCTGGGACTTGAATTCAGGCACATGTGACTTCAGAACACCCATTCCTAAGCACCATTCTATACTTCATCCCTTATTTTCACTTGTAGCAGCTTAGGTGTAGATCTCTGGTTGTTACTTAAGTCTCTGTGGAAGACATTACCTTGGATGCAGCACTGAAGAGAAACATTGTTGTGAATGCAATGTGCCTATTACATGCTAAGCAATACAGTTGAAGACTATAGAAATTATCACTTCCTGTAATAAGTCACAGAATTTTCAAAGGAGGGATTATGACCAATTATTGCAGCATAATTAGAACTGTTCATTGGATGCCTATCAGGGTTTCTAGTTAACTTTTTTTTGTTTTGTTTATATGGAAAGAGATGTATACACAAAATATTGAGTGTAGCACTGTTTGCAAAAGACTAGAGACAAACTATCACTAGAGAGCTGTTGTCATACATTTTAATACATCCGTACTGTGGAATGTGTGCAGCAATTAAAGACTGAGGCACATGAGTGTGTCCTGATATGGAACAATCTCTAAGAAATACTTCAAGTGAAAACAAGAAGGAGAAAAGTAAATAGTATGCCAACATCTGTTAAACTATGTAAGGAGGTGGGGGGGGGAATATATATATTTGTGTAAATGGACATTGAGAGGGATTTTTCCTACTGTCCTGAAACTGCTACTGAGGCCCAACTCCGGAAACCAAAAAGTCCATAAGGAACCCACTACCAATGACTGGAACTAGCTATCTTCCAGGAGAACATTTGAGGAGCCATTGTTCGAGAAACCAGCCCTTCCACCAACCCCTACCTCCACTCTACTATTCCCCACCCATTCTCCATTCCCACCCTCTCTCCCCACAGACAAACCATCACCACTAATCAGTGGAAAGAATGGAGAGTTGAGAGGGAAGTCAGGCTTAAGGAAAGAACAATGTCCTAGAAAGAGACTCATCCCTTCTCCCTCCATGAGGGAGTGTATCACTTCCTAGAGGCAAGGGAGGAAGGCTCCAGGAGAATCACTAGTGAAGACTGGGTGTGCCTATAGAAAGAGGAGACTGGCAACCCCCCAGATATCTGTTTGGGCATTGGACTAACTGATAAGCTCTGCCCCATTGTATCCTTGGCAAAGGAAAACACAAGAGAGAGACCACATGGCAGGGGGCTTTGGATGGCATGGTGGAGGGCTCTAGATGGGGGGGGGGGACTGAAACTGCCCCACCAACCCACACATACCTTGTTCTCTCAGTCCTAGATTGGAGTGCAGCAAAGAGATGTTCATCATCGGGATGTGGCATGAATGACACAAGCTGGCAGTCAGCTGGAAGATAAAGCAAATTGATGAGGGGTCACCCCTTCCTAGGGAGATGAGTGGGATCACTCGAGGTACTGTTGCTTTGTCATATCTACTCATTCTTATTACATTTTTACCTGTTTATATATTTATAATTTCTTTTGTAAAAATAGGTGTTTTCCTATTCTTTATCTTTTTCCAAAGGCTAAACATTTGAAGTTACTTTCAGATCTATCATGTTTATTTAATAATAATCTCCTTATTGGTTTTAAAGGCTTAATTTCATTGGTTAATTTTGTTTATTTATTTTAGATTTTTCATTCATTGTCATATCTTGGATTATAGATTTTTTTCCCCCTCTCTCTCTGTCTCTCTCTACGCTTACCCCTTTTTGTCTAGTGGTTTTGGAGTTGCCACCATTCCAGAACCAGATATTAAAATATTGGTATTCCAATTCCTGGGTAATATTGAAGATACAGCAAAACCAATACAGTTTATACTCTGAATTTTATTACCATGTACATGTGCTACCTGATTGAAAAGCCTAATGTATTTTTAAGTTTAGTTGGTTACTCTCCAGTGATACATAATTCAATTAAGTAAAAACAAACAATAAAAATAAACTACTACGTCAACCAAAAAAAAAAAAAAAGCAATTGATGAACTTCAAAATTTAGCAGATCGACAGAGAAGTAAAAATCAAGTGCATAAGACTCTTTAGTCTCTGGATAGGAGAAAGGATTAGATGCAAATTCATGATACAAAAGAAGAATGATGCATAAATGTAAGGATACGTATGCATTCTACTCAATTGTAAAAGAAATATTGTGACCGTTTAAATAGTCCCCCCTCCAACATACCCCTCCACCTTATACCAATCCCCCCAAAACATAATCCTCTGGCATCATAGCTTATTAGGGCATGATTTCTAAAGTTAACAACAACAGCAACAACCACAAAATTATATAAGGTGAAAAGTGTACTTAAAATTTTTCAGGAAAGCTCTGCACTAGAGACTGATTTATCATCTCTTAGTTTTCCTCTAGTGTCAGATATGATAGCCATCTCTTTGGCTGACCACCAGAAGAAGTGGGTGGTTTGGGTTTAGAGGCCATGTTACATGAAAAAAATGTGCATCTTTGAACTTTAGAATCACACTCACTATGGCCAAATGAGCACGCCATGAGATCTACACGAAAACTGAGATCTACTAAGAAAATAACAGATTCAGCTCTTTTATCACATACAGAGTAGTATTTAAATTTTCTTTATTGCTCTGTTGACCTTTACATTTAGTTGAAATAATGTAAGTTAAAAGCATGCGTGATGTGACATCAAACTGATGGTGACTGTCACCATGACACAAATTTGGCAGGTGCTGTCAAGAACTGGGATTTTACCCTAGTTGCAAGCTGAAAATTTAACCTAATGCAGTTTCATGGATAGATGCAGAAGACATGAAACTTCTGGGTCAGAGACAAAGGACTATATTCTCCACAGCACAGCATGCAGCATGAACGTCAACACTTTGCATCCGTTCTTGGCTGTCTGAACACACAATGTGTTACAGTAAAGGAACTCTGAGCTTAAGGAAACCAAATCTTTCATAGTGGACAGTAAACATTTCTGCCCTTTGCTCTGGAGGGAAACTATCTCTATCTTTGAAGGCTGTTTGCTAAACAAACATCCTTGAAAAAATAGTCTGGGTTAAATGACAGTCGGTGCCTCTGCTCACAAGATGTGCAGAAACAGAAGAGACCCATGGAGGGTTGTCTTCCAGCCGGGGCAAGATTTCATTGTGTTGTATTACATTTGGTGAGTGAGTGAGGGGTATGCCGTAGATGAAAGAAGATGGTTTTGAGAACCACAGTGACTTTAGCTCCATTTCTAACGAACATTTTATTAGTTATGTGATCTTAGTCAAATTACTTAACTTCTCTGAGCCTCAACTACATAATGGAATAATAAATGTATCCCAGTGGAATTGTTGTTCAGATCAACTGAGAAAGTATAGCTGAAGTGTCAGGCACAGTATCTGGAATACCCTAAGCATTCAACAAATGCTCAATCCTTCTATCCTTCCCTCATTCACTGATTCCCTCATACATGTCAGTCAGGTGCCAGATCCTTCCATCCCTCCCTGAAATTGGGAAGCAACTTCTTGGGTTCCTACCTGTGTTAGTTAGGATACATGGGGTTCAGATGCTGTAACTAAGGGACCCAAAAATGACAGAGGCTTTCACAAGTTAGAGGTTTACTGCTGTCTCACAAGGAAGTCTGGATAGGTAGTCAAGGGCTGATATGGCAGCTTGAAGGTGGCCATTTTTCAGATCGTCCTTGGTTGTTGCACTGCTACCCAAAAAACATAGCTTTCCTCTCATGGTTCAAAATATTTACTTCAGCTGCCACCATCATGTCCCATTCCAGCCAGCAGAAGGGAGGAAAAGAAGCGGTTAGTAAGGGCCTTCCCTTTAATGTATGACCCAGAAGTTGTGCTCATCACTTCTCATTACCTCCCATTGATGAGTCATGTGGCCACACACCTAGCTGCAAGGGATGCTGGGGAATTTAGTCTTTATTCAGGGCAGGATTATTATTAATAGGGGGAGAAAAGAACAGACACTGAGAAACAACTAGCCATTTTTGCCACACCGCCTTTCGCTTAAGAGAGGACAGGCATTAGACCTCGAAGGCCTGGGGAAGTTGGAGTTACACTCTGAAGTCACCAAGGTAAGGATTGGAGCCAGCAGCAGACCATGAAATTTTTCCACCAGTGTAATTCCCCCAGGATGCCCCTTTTGGGCTCTCTGAGGGACTCTGAGTAAATGGCATCCCATTTGCTTTGCCTGCATTCTAAACAAGCTGGGACATAAAACAAAAAGGAGCAGAGGGGAGCCAGTAAAGATCACCTTTACTAGTGATAGTAAACAAGGTTGGAGAAGAAGCTGAAGGGCTGGTAGCTGAAGGGCACCACTAATAGTGAGTCCCAGAACCCGGCTGCAAGACCAGGACAGCCCCCACGGCTAACAGGGGGCAGAGCCCCAGGAGTAGCTCCCTCCCAGTAAGAAGGAGGACAATGCTGAGTTGAGCACAACCAGGTATTCTCAAATTTACCAAAGGGAGCAGTTCCTCATCTACCCAGGAATGGATAAAGCAGGGAGAGAAAGCAGGAAATGTGCTTAGAAAAAACCCTTCCGCATTGAAACCCAGACTGGAGAAAAGGGGGTTCCCCTCTACCATCCACAATGAACACAGAGCAAGGCTTAGAAATAGCGGAGGAAGCAACCATAGCACAGCCAACAAATACAAGAAGGACCCACACTGACAGGTCGGAAATTATCCGACACTGTAATTGGATTTGAGCCCCAGCCTGGCCTCTGAGGAGCTGTGTGTCTTTGGATAGGTTCCGTAAAGTCTCTAATTCTTCATTTCCTTGCCTCCAAAAGGAGGAAATAGGAGTGTCTAATTCCTCTGGTAGTTGTGAAGAGAAAATGAGGTAAAGCATGCAAAGCTCTTTGCCGAGTGCCTGGTAGTGAATGAGCCCATGGGAAATGGTAGCTGCCATTATTATTTCTGAGGGCCAAAATGAATAGCTCCTGGAGCAGTTTCTCCATGTAAACTGGGAAAGGAAAAAAAAAACAAAAACCTTTATCTGCTGTCATGGTATTCAACCAAGATCAGAAGGGTTTTTGCCGAATAATAAAAATAATTGGGAGAGAGAAAGAAGAGGGGAAGAATGGGAACAAGGCACCTGAAGGCTCAGCTGGTCAGAAAGACTGACTGGAATAGGGCCCAGGGCAAACTGGGCTGGGCCTTCCCTTTCCCATACCTGCGTGCCACCCCAAACATTTTGGGAAGGGGCAGAGGAGGGATGGAGCCCACCTATTTGAACCTCCCTGGCATACTCTGGGGTCCGAGTAGGTGGGCTCTATCCCCTGTCAATCCCCTCCTTAAGCACCCGCTCCCCGCAAAAAACCTCACAGAGCAGTTAATATTTTGAAGGTTTTTATGGATGGTACTTCTGTTTAAAACTTTAAAATCTGCTGGATAAGGGAATCTGAGGTCTCATAAGTTCTGTGTTCTCTTACTGAGAAAGCTGTGAGATCCGTTTGGGAGTGAGCACACATCACAGTTAAGGCATTCACTCACCAGTGATTCACTCTTCAGTGACTAATGATTGCACTTGGACTTGAGCTCCTCTCTCCTCCTGTCCATTGGAGCCCCTCAGGGCCTCCTTCCTGTTTTTCTGCTCAGACTCTTATATTGGCAAACCAGGAAGGGTCTATGGACACCTTTTTAGCCATCATTATGCAGAAGAGAAAACAGAGATCTGAGATGTTAAATGACTTGCTCAACAGTCACTCAGCAAGCGGGTTCAGACCTGGGACTAGAAACCAGACTTTGGATTGCTAATCTATTGCTTTGCCAAGACTTAGATCCCAACTCCACAGCCTATTAGCTCTCAGACTTAGGCAAGGTTCTTAATCTCTCTGGACCTTAGTTTCCTCATCTGTAAAATAGGTATGGTAGCCCCTAGTTTATTGGATTGTTGTGAAGGTTAGAAATATATCTAAAATTCCTCTCCGCCATAACCCGCCCCCCTCATTCCCACCCCTCTTGGGTGCCCAGGGTGTCAGGTCGCTTCTGGAGGACATCCCTGCAGACTTCAGGCCTAATTCTGGACACTGCCTCTTGCTTCACTGGGGGGAGAGGTGCTCTCTCCTTCCTCGTAGTGCCTCAGTGTAGGTGAGGATTTAGTTATTTTAGAATCCCCAGAACACAGTATCTGTGACACAAGTGAAACTTTTGAGAGCAGATAGACATAATTTTAATGGATTATTATGCTTAAAAATCTTTATCTCTCATTCTTCGATCTTGCCTAAGATTCTTTTCCCATCCAGATATTGGAGAGAGAGCAGAGAAAAAGGTGTGGGAAGGAAGAATTCTTTCTTGCCTTCATTGTATTCTGGGTTTTATAGGTTTAATGTCTGACCTCCGTCACCCTGAGCTAAGGAAGAAGGGTACCATTTCTGTTGGATTACTGTTTATACCTGATACAAGTATGTACAAGACATAAAAACAGAAACAAACA